CTACACACTCTAGAGTAACACTGGGCAACAGATGGTCCCCCCAGTTAGCATTGGCCGAATGAAAAGCACGTACTGTACTACCACGGCCATAATGCCGTTCGAGGTACGTTTACTTCTCTCCTGTATGCGCTGTCCTCTGATCCTTTCCTGGCCTCCCTAAGACACGGACATGCCTCTAGTCTGGGCGCTTTGCCCCTCCCCCCTTTCCTCGGTTGATTAGGACAATAGTTTTATTATCTGACTGCTTCCCCAGGAACCTGGGGACTTGTCTCTCTTTGCCCATTTGAGTCATCCTCAGTAACTTCTCAGATTAAAATCTGAAACAAATAACTCTGTGCCTTTGCTGGGAATGTCTCCTTATTGATGGCCTATGCTACCTAGAAAACCCATGGGAACATGACTGCTCTCTTCTATTAGCTTCTCTGCTTCTCCAAAACCCTCCAGTTTCAGGTCTATGTCCATTACAATGTCCACTCTGCTGCCTAAGAAACAACAAGAGCCTTCAACAGCGCTAAGCCTTTGTCCCGAACCCAGAGCAAACCAGGTAATTAGCATATGCGTGAGTTTTAACTCATTGTTTTCTACAAGCTTCTTGAGCTCTATGTGATGTCTCCGTGTAGTTTCGGCACACACGTTTTCGCATCCACCTGACACAACCCTGAGTCTTCTCTGAGTAATGGGGTCTCTAATGGGGTCTCCTTAGCCTAGAAGCACGCAGCAGCCAGGCTTGAAGCAGGACCAAGAGTAAATCCCAAACTGGCTCCTGGGGTGGCCTTGGAGTGCTCCCACATTCCTCTGCTCACAGTGTGTGGGTCTAGGAAAAGGAGTGTCACTCCCCAACCACCCTCTGCTGATCCCTCTTAATTATCAGCGAGGGTCACGTGCAGTTTGTGCATGGACCCAGAGGGTAGCGAAGCAGCAGGCATGACCACCGCTACACAACTCGGTTCCTTTGCAGGGAAATCCTGCATCCTCTCCTTGGTGGCTTAGCTATGACTGGGTCTGAAGCTCCAAGTGGACCTGTGCGTTTCTGTGCCCGTTGACAATTCAGCATGTCCCGGTTAAGACGCTAGCCTAGATATCAACTCCCCCTGGCAGTCAACAGCACCCTATTTCCAGGGGGCAGTTTCTGGGAGCCAGCTACCTACATTCACCTGCAGGAATTTCACAGTTATTTCCCAAATGTCGTCTCCCAAAGGCATAAGGAAAGCAAGCATCTTTCTTGTTTTTTGCAGCAATTGGTGCCTCTCCTAGCACTGTCTTGTGATGTTTCCTGTCTCTGCTGGTAAAAATTCAAAGTTATTAAGGAATAAAGATTCCAAAGAAGCGAACCCTGTGGCGATGAAACTTGTCAGTGTTAAGCAGAGTCCAACTCAGAGCAACCCGGGAAAGGACTGGGTCCCCAGGTCCCACAAGCGACCTTCTCCCCTCACTGAGGTTGCCTTGCAAGTGGGACTTAGCCTCTCTGCTTTTGTCCCCTCCTTGGTAAAATCAAGACATTAATTCGAAAAGCCAGAGGAACTGTTGGGCCCACCAGGAGCCCAGGGGCTGCCCACCTGTCCCACAAGTGACACCTGTGGGTATTTATATAAGTTATCCCTTTGAACAAGTCAGCTGGGCTATCTCGGCCCTCACGCCTTAGGCACCTGCTTAATTAAGACCAACTCCCAACCTCCCCAGATTCATTTGGGAGAAGGAGAACTCACAACACATTATTTATTCCTGAGTTCAGCTTTTAAAAATGCATCAGCAAGTCTACAAATGAGTGGATGGGATAGGACAGGCACTGTGCAAAGATTTGTTTATTTGAAAAGCAGAGCCATGGAGAGAAAGGAGAGACAGAGACCCTCCACTTACTGCTGCAGATCCCCAGATGGCTGCAGCACCGGGGGCTGGGCCTGGCCAAGGCCTCCCTCATGGCTAGGTCTGCAGCCTCCTGGGTGCATTAGAAGGAAACTGGATTGAAAGCGGCAGCCCTCTGGGATGCTGGCAAAGCAAGCAGCATCTTCTGCTGCTGCCCCACCATGCTTAATCCCTGTAATGGCCTCACATGGAGATGGGAACTTGGTCCCTGCCACCCATCCCTCAATGCAGAATCTGAGAACTTGGTATTACAGGCACTTCTCAGGTCTGCTACAGCTCGCCTGTGGAGGAGTCAGAGTCAGAACTCAGGGCTGTGCAGCAGGCCTCACTCTGCCACAAAAATAGGATCAAAGAGCATCAAAGGAGGGAGAGGTAGGGTGACTTGATAGGCTAATCCTCTGCCTGCAGCACCTGTACCCCATACGGGCACCAGTTCCTGTCCCAGCTGCTCCACTTCCAATCCAGCTCCCTTCCTGAGAACTGCAAAAGCAGCAGAAAGTGACCCAACTAAGCTCTGGCCATTGTGGCCATTTGGAGAAGAAACCAGTGGATGGAAGATATCTCTCCCTCCCCCGAGTCTCCCCTTATCTCTCTCAATTCGTCCTTCAGTTAAAAATAAATAAACCTTTAAAGAAAGTAGGCAAGCCAGCCAGCCATGAGAGAGAAGGCCATGTGTATGTCACGGTTAGGAATTCTGGTGCTGGGGTAGCCATCTTGTGGCTGCGACCTCTCCTCCAAGCTGGTCCCAGGCTCTCACTATCCTCAGAATTATCTATCGTTCGCAAAGCAGGTGATGAGGATGGAGCTCGGAGAGGCAGGTGTGCAAAGTGCAGTCGTACCCCATGCCCCAAGCATCCGCTCAGGAAGGGGCTGCAGTCATCTGCATTTCATATTCACTTATTTAATGCATGCTGACAGCGGGGTGTGTGTGTGTGGCGCGTGTGAGGAGCGGGTGTGATGCGTGTGTCATTGTATAAACGTGGAATTCTGTACCCTTGGTGGAAGCAATGTTGGGTCTCTGCATCCTTGCTTTAAATGTTTCCTTTCCAAGTATCTGTGGTGTGTGAGTTATGCTAAAACGGTGGGAAGCGCTGACGCTCCTCGCTCTGAAAATACCAAACCATGCACCGGGGCTGATGGGTCGGGCGGCTAAGTCCGAGGTACAAACGCAGCTCAGCCACAGTGACGGGGTTCTAGAAGCCGACGGGACGTGGGAGGCCCATGGAAAGAGTGGATTGTTGTTCACACTTCAGCTTTGATTCGGAGACACCTGTGAAAGAGAATCATCCTCTCCCAGTACTTACTGGTTATTTTATTTCCAGAAAACAAGCTTGTTATTTTAGCCAAGGTAAATTGCTTTGGCGTGCGGGTCCCCGTCTGTGATAAAGGAACAGCGACACCTAGTGCTAGCGCATGGTTTATTTCTTCTCAGCTGGCTTCTCTCTGAGCCTAAAAATGATGGCTGCGTGTGAGAGCAAGGAGCCAGCGCTGGAGTGGCAGAGGAAAAGCTGGAAAGGCAGAGACGTGAATACAGTAGAAAAATTCACTTTCACGTCTCCTATAAAATTGTTGGATATTTTCTCCTCCCACAAAAATAGGCTTGTGCAACAGGCTCCAAGTGACTTAGTTCCAGTTCCAAGTAAAAAAAAAAATGTTTGGAACCACCTGCTTTTTCTTCCTGGTGTTGATGAAGCAGATTGGCAGAGACCTGCCTCAAAAGCGCATTTTGTTTCACTCATTTACATATTAATATTTCCCAAGTACATTTCCATGTTCCAGTGCCATAGCCCCATTATTTAAAAATTCGTCTGAATATGCAGCAATACGTTTTCAGAACAGCATAGAACTTAACACAAGCCACCAGGGAGGAAGTAGCAGAATACGGCTAGGTTCCATGGCTGCTCAGCTGACTGCGGGAGAGTCCACAGGGCCACCTTGGGCCGGGTGCAAATCACAGCAGGCAGCCCCCCACCCCAAAGCAGGGACAGGAGCGGGCGTCGTGCCTGGGGGAGGACTGGAGTTTGTGAACCCAAGGGTGTGGGAGGGATGAGTGCTCCCCAGGCTGCAGGTACAGCCATGCCCCACCCTCCCTCCTCCCCTCCCGCCCCTTCCCCCCCACCCAGTCCTCTCCCCAGTCTTCCCTTTTACCTTGGCTCTCCCTGCCAACACTGTGGCTACTTCTCCTGCAGAGCTGGCTCCCAAAGCCAGTCTTCCCATACAGAGCTTCGGTCCTGCCTCCCGGCACCTGCTGGGACATCCAGAAAAGGGAGTCCTCCAAAGAGCGAGGAAACCTCCGGTCAGGGCAGACAGGTCAAAGTCAGACGTGAGAATGATGGGGGACAGTGTGCACCTCTCAAGATGGACAGCCTGGGGTCATCCAGAAAGATCCTGAGAGGAGAGCTAGGTCCCTGGGGCTTGCTCACGGGCAGTCTGTCTTGGAGGCACACATCAGTGCAGAGCTGAGAGTCAGGAGCGCTACCCTGTCTGTTGGGGCTGAGCCAGCACACAAGCAGGTGTCTGGTGAGAGGCAGCAGGTGTTCTGGGTGGGGGAAGGAGGCAAGCTGTACAGTTCTCTAGTTCTGCTTCTGCCCCAGTCAGTCTACCAGGGTTTCAACTGGGAGAGTCAGTCAGTGACTTCAGGAGAGAAACTTAGCAGCCCTCATCCTTGTTCACACATGATTTTATTTTTTTTTAAGATTGATTGATTGATTTGAAAATCAGAGCTATAGCAAAAGAAGAAGAGGTAGAGACAAAGAGAGATCTTCCATCCACTGGTTCTCTCCCCAGATGGCCACAACGGCCAGGGGTTCAGGCAGACCACAGTCAGGAGCCAGAAGCTTCTTCCTGGTCTGCCACGCAGGTGGCAGAGGCCCAGGTACTTGGGCCATCTTCCACTATGTTTCCCAGGCCATTAGCAGGGAGCTGGATGCGAAGTGGGACAGCCAGAATTCGAACTGGCTCCCTTATGATATGTCAGCATCACAGTTGATGGCTTTATGCACTGCATCGCAACATGAGCCCTGCTTTACCCACTCATGGGACACAGCTGCACCAGGCGCCGTCTGAGCACGGGGTGTATTGCAGGTGTGCGAGACACAGCTGTGGTCCAAAGATGCAAAGCCATTGCCTTCATTTGCTTATATTCTACCAACCAATGCCTGCCTGTCCCAGTGCATCAGGCAGATGGGTGGACACAATTCCCATAAAAGGCAGGTGGAGGACCCCTCAGATTTTGCAGCTACTAACTCCACCGCTGAGATGAGAAAGTGACCCAGACAGCACACAAATGAAAGGAGATGGCCACAGCCTGATGACCTGTCACGGAGTGTGTTATACACAGGGGATATTGATAAATGCATCTTTAGGGAATCTCATTGCAGCAAGAACATCATGTGTGTGCTGACACAAACCAGGACAGTCTAGCCCAGTGCATGCCTAGGCTAGCCCATGGGACTGCAAAAAGTTCGTGGAAAATGAGATTTAAAATTAGGTGTCTTTTGGTTGCAAAAAAAAAAAAATGAAACCCATGCCTCTCATAAAGTCCACCTACATGTATTATGAACAAATGCTGCATGAATTGCAACCCATCTTTGCACCAAAATAAGCCTGCCTTTCAATCCCATTTCCATCAAGCATTTTTGAAGGCCCCCTGTACGTGGTGTACAGTCTACTGCTGCCAGCACCACGTTGAACAAACAAGATGCAAACATAAGAAGAGAGGCAAGGCCTGCTACGTGGAGCACAGCAGAGTGTTACTAAGTAGAAATGTGGTCTGAAAGAGTAAGGCAAAGGGTTATAGTGCAGTACAGTTTAGCAGTATGGTACAGTAAACTCCTGAGTTGGCAAACTTGTCTTTGACCATTGTCCAGTGACTGGGTGTGCAGCACCTCCACACACATGTGCATACATTGAGTTGGGCTGTGGTAGTCTGACCTCCACCACGGCACAGAGTAATGGGGCTGTCTAGTTCCGTGATAATATTAGAGGTCCACCATCATGCATGAGGCCCGAGGCTGAGTCGGGTGTTAGGTTGTGGCACATGACTGTCACAGCCGTTCTTTCATCCTCGCAACAGAGGGGCTGCAGCGTGGGTGAACGGGACAGGTAGCACCCGCGGTAAGAAGGCGGGAGGCAAGGAAGCAGAAAACCAGCAGTGATGGGACAGGCGGGCACCCGCTGAATCATGCCTGTAGGTATCGCAGGTGACAATGGCTGCACAGAAACCACCATCTCATGCAGCCAATGGGTACGATGAAGGTGGAAAGGAAATGGCAGGGAGCTGTGAACAGGACCCTTCGCTGCTTCTCTTGGTGACAGAGGGGTGGAGAGAGTGAGAGCAGAAGTAGCACTGGAGACGTCCTGCCCCATCAACAGCTGGAGGGCCCAGGGCACGGCAGGAGAGCTCAGACTCCCGTGTCCTTTGGGGCAGGAGACACAGGCCACAGCATTCACGCAGCTGCCAGCCATGCGTAGGGTGGGAGGAACTGCATCCGTCGTCATAGGCTCGGCTCCTCTGCAAGATGAGTTTAATTTCCTGCGAATGATAAGAGAGTTAGTATTTAACACGGAAACCCATGAATTTCCCAGCCCGTGCATAATCGAGTCTTTGGCAACCGCAGGCTCTCCCCGCGCGTTTAGCTGCAGACTGCTCCGCGGCTGCTGGAGGGTAATTTGCCTTCCGTGCCTTCTGAGCTCTGAGCTTCATCAGGAAGATTCTCTTCCTCTGTAACAGGGTGCCAGGAGGAGAGGCTGTACCCACCCCTCGCTCTGTGGAGGGGCCGCGAAGTCTGGAGGGGCACACACATTAGCAGAAGGAGAACACCCCCGTTGAGCTGGCTTTTTTCTGTCTTTGAAAACAAAAGGGCAGAAGTTCAGAGAGAGCTGCAGAGTTGGTCTTCCAGAGGAGATTGGCAGATGTGGCTCTTCACTTCCCACTGGAGGTGGGAGGGTGAGCAGCACCCAGCAGCCTTTTGCAGCAGGAATTCCCGAGGTTCCCAAGGTGATGTGGGTTGAGCAGGGAGCCTGCTGGTGCTGGCCTGGACAGCCTGAGTCAGGTCTACAAGCACCCACCCACCGTGGCACCCCCAGGGGAACCGCCTCGACCCCATTTGGGAAGATGGTGCAGGAAAAGAGTGGTCATTCAAAATCGCATTTTAAAATTAGCTCCCTTGGAGCTGGGGAGATTCCGCATCTCATTTGTCTGGCATTATCCATGTTTCAGAGAAGGGACCGTGTGGTTCCCTGCTCTGCTTGGCTCACATGGCCTACCAAAAGAGGAGTCCTCAACCCTTGGCAGCTGGCTTGGCAGAAACCCTGCTGTGCTGCCAGCCCTGCTCCTGGGACTGCAGCCCACCACGCCAGCCACACCTGTCCCCACCCACCCACGGAGCTCTCACCTGCTCCGCCTGGGGCTGCCTCCTCCCAAGCCCCCACTGCAGTGCCCCACAACCCAGTGCCCTCTGTGGCTCCTTCCAGCTGTGTGCCAACAGATGGCTGAGTGTATGAAACAGGCTTCTCACTGAGCTGCACAGAAGAGAGGCCAGGAGGGTCTTGGCATGGGGTGAGGAATGCCCATGCCATGAAGGCGGTGATCCAGGAGAGTCCCTGCAGAGAGGGAGAGAGGGCGCCACAGCCCCACACATGTCCCCACTTCTCCTTTCAAACTTTCCTCACCTGGCTTGCTGGTATCACTCCGGGATTTGGGAAAGGCTGCAGAGTTTGCAAAGGAGTCAAGTTTGAGTTTGCTCTCACTGGCCTAAGGGCCGCTCCTGAGACTCTGCAGGTCTGTGGTCAGGAGGCCAGTGGGAGCACAGACAGGCTCATCTTTCACTCTGTTCTGTCCCCAACACATGAGCAGATGTAACCTGGATGCATGGAGGAAGGGACTGAACTGTGGAGCAAGTGCGTGAGTGAGTGAGTGAGTGACCTGGGATGGGTGGAAGAATGGGTGGCCAGGGACCTCCAGTGGTCCAAGGGCTGCCGGCTGAGACGCCCTCGCTCACAGCAGCGGCACAGGCCTATGCCACCAGGCCTCCCCATCCACTGCTCGAGGGCAGCTGCACTCCAGCCCCATGCTGCGGCCAGCAGCTCCCGTGTGCTCTGGGCCTGCACCTGTCACCTGTTTCGCCCCAGGGACTGCAAGCAGAAAGATCACTGGCACCCAGCTTACCGCTTCTATCCACGATGTACATAAAGACAGAATTTAATCTCCAATTTCAAATACCCCCTGAAATATCTTCCGATCCTGCACCTCAGTTGAGAAGCAAAATGTGTTGGACTTTTAGGAGAATGGATCTCTACTCAGATTTATAGAGATACCTAGCAGTTCTATTGATCGAAGCCAACTGCCAGAGCCTGGGGAGTGAGGAAGAGGCAGCCAGGACCGGGACTGCATCTTTCTTCAGGCCCTGAAGGTTACGCTGTCACAGGGGCCGGGCTGCAGGACCTGCATTTGTGGAGTGTGCTCTGAAAGAGGGCTTTATATTCTCATTCTGGGGATTGTGTGCATGGCAAAGGATATCAGGATGTTGGGACTTGATTTCATTTGCTCAGTGGCAGCCTTATGTGAGTGTCTGGAACCTTCCAGCAGTCTAAGAATGTCAAGCCAGCACATCACCTCTCCTTGATCTGAGAAGGGCTTCCGGTACACAAGCCGCTCACCCGTGCCTTGAGAAAGGGGCCACCCTGAAAGGGACTGGGCCTTTTCCGGTCTGGCGCACCTGTCTCAGATACAGCATCCCCATGAGCCACTTGGTAATTTCATCCCAAACATTCTACTCTGGGAGCCATATGGCCGTAATAACCTGGCACGTCAGAGAACACGTAATGGTCTAATAGCCTCAGATTTGCTGTCCAAATGAAGCGTGTTTTCCATCATGTAGCTGGAGTCTTAGAAATTCCCCTTTCTGTACGCAGCGTCTGCGAGACACCGCACGCTTGTCTGTGACTTTGAGGGGTTCAGACGCACATGGACAGAGGCCTCCCCTTTTTTGGGTAGCATTTCTTCAGGCGTCTCCCAGTGTTGATTCAACAAAACAGTGGGGGGATTACTCTTTGTTAATGTGTGTAAAGCATTCCAAGGGACACGGGTACGAAAAGTGTCCTCCAAGCAGTGGTGCCCGTGGTGTGCCCACCGTCTCTGCTTCCTGCACCTGCTGTCCACCTGCCCCTGCCAACCCTCTGCCCAGTGCAGAAATGCCACCTCAGTCCTAAGTGGGGCTCGGCACGTGAACCCCAACCCAGGGACTCGCCAAAGAACATTTCTTCAGTGAAAAACTAGAACTTTCATGACAAACACAATGTGTGCTTATTGGAAAAAAAAAAAAGGCAGAAAACTACACACAAATAGAAAAAGAGGAAACAAAATAGAAAGTAGCCAGAATCCCACACAGCTGGAATAGTAGGGAGCTTTGTGAATATTTTTTTTACAAACACGCACACACACACATATTAATAGAAATGAGCTCATGCTAATTTGCCTCTTCACCAGCCTTCCACCCTGAACAGTGTGCCATAAACCACTCTATTTCTCTAATACCATTTTTTTAAAGATTTATTTTTTTTTATCGGAAAGGCAGATATACAGAGAAGAGGAGAGACAGACGGGAAGATCTTCAATCCAATGGTTCACTCCACAAGCAGCCGTAATGGCTGGAGCTGAGCTAATCCGAAGCCAGGAGCCCAGAGCTTCTTCTGGGTCTCCCACGCAGGTGCAGGGTCCCAAGGCTTTGGGCTGTCCTCGACTGCTTTCCCAAGCCACAAGCAGGGAGGTGGATGGGAAGCAGGGCTGCCAGGATTAGAACCAGTGCCTATACAGGATGCTGGCACATTCAAGGCAAGGACTTTAGCGCTAGACTATCGCACTGGGCCCTAATAGCTTTTTTATTATTATTATTTTATTTCTTTTCATTATTGTCATCTTATGATGCAGTTCCATAGGCCCTGGGATTTCCCTTGTGCCGTCCTCAATTCCCTCCCCCCTCACTGAGTTTCCCTGTATCATTACTGTAGTATACTTCTCCATACACAGTCATACGTTCATCATTGTGGGCCTGGACAATGGCAGAGAGTCCAGCAAACTATTGTCAGGATGCATCTAATGGTTTCATTGAGAGTCCATCTTTGTCTGGAAGTGGAGATGCACACTGCACTGTATACTCACATCTGGATATGACAGTTTCCATTACACAATTTCTATACATCCACTTAAAATCAAAAGCCACAAAACAAAATCAACAACAGGAAGAAAAAAGAAATCCAACAATACCATGAAGTTAAATAACATGCTACTGAATGACTAATGTGTCGCTAAAGAAATGAAAAAGAAAGTCAAGAACCTTCTGAAAGAAAATGATGCTACTGTATGATCTATGAGTCATTGAAGAATTTAATCACAAGAAAGTGTTTCAATAAGATGAAACTAACAAAAAAATCCAAATCCATGAAATATATTTCTGCTGATCTTTTTTGGTAAAATGAGTCTCCTGTAGGCAACAAATAGATGGGTTTTGCATTTAATCCAATCTGTTAGTCTATGTTTGATTGATGAGTTTAAGCCATTTACATTCAGGGTTACTATGAATGGGTGGTACTTTGGTCCTGTCATTTTAGCAATGGGTTGTTCATTAGTTTAGTCTTCTGTTGTCATTGAACTGGGATGTTCTTCCCATTTGCCTTTGTTTTGGTGGACGCTATTCCTCTCCTCTGTCAAGAGAACATCTTGAAGTATCATTTATAGGACAGGTTTGGAAGAGGCAGGTTCTTTTAACTTTTCTTTACTGTGAAAGAATTGTATTTCAGGGACAAAAGAAAGCTTTGCTGGATATGTTATCCTAGGCCGACAATTTTTTTCTTTTAGAATCTGAATATGTCACTCCATTCTCTTCTGGCCTGTAAAGTTTCCTGTGAGAGGACTCCTGTGATTTTAATTGGAATTCCTTTATATGTCAATCAAATTTTTCACGTGCACATTTAAGGATCTTTTGTTATGTTCAATTGAAGAGAGCTTGATGGTCATGTGTCATGATGAAGATCACTTTGATCAACACTGTTGGGAGTTCTGTGCCCCTCCTGGATCCTGTTTCCCATTTTTTTCTCCAGATTAGGGAAATTTTCCCTTATTATTTCATTGAATACACCTTTAATCCCAACTTGTCTCTCTCTCTCTGCACCTTCTGGGACTCCCATAACTTTTATATTTGGCCTTTTAATAGTCTCTTTCAATTCTTGAAAACTTTTTTTAGCCTGATCCAGCTCTACTTCCAGCTTTTTCCCCCTGGTAACAGGAAATATCTTCTAATTCTGAAATTATCTTGTTCTGCCTCCATTCTATTTTGGAAACTCTCCACTGTACTTTTAATTTGCTCCTCTGTATTCTTCACTTCTGATATATCAGCTTTCATTTGATTCATTTCCTATGTGACATATTCCTTAAATTCCTTGAATGCCTGCTTTATGTGCTTCTTGTTGCTGATAGAAGTTTTATAACAACTGTTTAGAATTCTGTGTTCCCCATTTTCTCGATGTCTTCCTCAG